TATGGAGTTAGAATGCAGATCGAAGCATACTATTTGCTCTTTTTTTCTTCTGTTGTGTTTTGTTTCCTGTTTCTTGTGGTTCCTCCTATTGGTTCTAATTCTTCCTTACAACATGACTAATGTGAAAATATGTTTAATAGGAATGTATATGTAAAAGCTATATCACATTGCCTTCAGTCTTGGGGAGAGGAGGGAGGGGAGGAGGGATGGGGAGAAAAATTTTAAACTCAAAAGCTTAAGGAAATGATTGTTGATAAATCAAAATTAAAAAAAATCATGTTGGGATCATATGTGGCCAAAGCAACCAGAGTGTACAATAGTGCAGGGCCCAATGTCCTTTTCCTTTTCCTTCCTGGGTACAGCATCTTTTGTTAAGGGGGTTCTAAGAGTCTGTCCTTTCCAGAACCCAACTCCCAAATGCCGCGGCTGCTTTTTTCTTGAATCCAAAGTTAATTCTGTTCTCTACAGCCATTTTCCCCATAGCCACTGCAAAATTGAAAATTTATTTTAATACTATTTTAAAGACTTAAACTGGCATGGGTTTAATTCTCTCCTACACCTGGAGAAACTCAGGAATCAATTCTGTTGTGAATTGAACCTCTATCCTTGTATACCTTTGTAACCTCACCCACTACCCACTTAACTCAAATTCAAGTTGATTCACTCAAAGCCCTATTGCAGACTATACCCATGTTTGCAGACTAATTCTGTCACTGGAGAAGTAATCCCATAGTCCAGTAAGGAAGTAAGGAGGAGGAACTGAGTTGACTCTTAACCCACTTCCTCATTAAAATATCTACCAACCAGGATTGTCATAATGTAATGTCAGGTCAATCAGAAGAAGACACACTTACTAGTGCTGGAGATTTTGCTCAGTCATTTTTCTAATTGTTATAAAAGACCCCCACTCAGTGTCTTGGTCATTGAGAGAAGTCACCCACTCAATTTATTGGTTAACTAATACCCTGACTGGGCTTGTCTCTCAGTTTACCTTAATTTCCAAACAGAACGCCACTTCCATCTCTCTCTGCTTCCAGCAGAATGCTGTGTTTCGTGTGGGACAAGATGACGTGGCTGATTGGGGAAGAGGAGAGAAATTCCCTCCTCAAACTGTTGCCTTCTGATAGAGACCATCACACTCTATAAAGCTGCTTCCTGCATGAATTACCTTGACTGCTTCCAGAGCTGGCAAGTTTGCACGTGTGTGTGTGTGTGTGTGTGTGAGTGTGTGTGTGTGAACTATGAATCCTATAGATTGCAACTTTAGGGCAGCTAGCGGTGCAATGGATTGAGTGCTGGGCCTAGAGTCAGGAAGACCTGAGTTCAACTCCAGCCTCAAGTCACTTAACTAGCTGCATAACCCTTAGCAAGTCACTTGACCTTCTTTGCCTCAGTTTCCTCGTCTGTAAAATGAGCTGGACAAAGAAAGGGCATATCACTCCAGGATCTTTGCCAAGAAAACCCCAAATGGGGTCAGGAAACGTTGCATTGTCGGGAAGTCCAGCATGCATCTGCAGGAACATGTGTCTGTAATGACTTGTTTACTATATGATACTATATGATTACACGATGCAATATTGTGTCATCAAAATTTCCATGCAGGAAAAAACCCATAAATTTACAATAAATTATTAAATTTAATATGCATCATTTAAAAATTATATATTTTTTGAAATGATGCAAATTTTTAAAATATTAAAGGGTTAAAGAATGTAGATTTCCAGGGGGGCACTGAATAATTTTTTTTTTAAAGGGAGCACAGTAGGCTGAATAAGTTTGGGAACTTCTGTTTTAACCTCTTAAGATCTTTTTAATTCCTAACTGTCATCCAGCATGTTAGTTATTCCTCTCAGCTTGGTTCTGTCTGCAAGTTTGAGAAGTATATCATAAATACCTTTAGCCAAATCTCGGGTGAAGATATTAAATGAAATAGGATTAAACACAGATCCCTAGGGTACTCCACTGGAAACTTCATTCCAAGTAAACATTGGACTTGGAATTAATGAACACTCTTTGGTCGTTGCTCAGTGGAATCTGACCCTTTGTGACCCCACTTGGGGTCTTCTTGGCCAAAAGCCTGCAGTGATTTACCATTTCCTTCTTCAGCTCATTTTACGCATGAGGAAACTGAGGCAAACAGGGTTAAGTGACTTGCCCAGAGTCATACTGCTAGTAAGTATCTGAGGCTAGATTTGAACTCAGGAAGATAACTTTTCCTGACTTCAGACCCGGCACTCTATCCGCTGCACCATCTTGCTGCTGGGTTTGGCCGATCAACCAATGTCAAATCTACTGAAGTGCATTTCTTTCTCTCTTTAGAATCCTTGCTTCTATCCCTAATTCAGTTTCTCACTTTAACCGTAATTTTATTCATTCCTTTCCCTCACCCCAACATCCAATCAGTTTCCATATCTGGTCATTTCTGCCTCCACAAGACCTCTCCTTTCTCCTATCCATTCCCTTCTCCCCACTCACACAGCTGCCATCACCTTAGCTCACGTCAGCATTATTTTTGTCCTTAACTATTCTAACAGCCACCTAATATGGTCTCTCTGCCTCCAACCTCTAATTCATGAAATGTCTTCCACTCAGCTGCCAACGTGATTTTTTCCTAAAGTGTAGGTCTAACCATGGCCTCCAACTGCTCAAAAGCTTCAGATCATTTTGCTTTTTACTCACACTTTGCAATTTGTGTATGGACGGGGCAGATGGCTGGAGAGGCATCTGAAGGTAGAAAGCAGGTCAAATAGATACATAGGAAAGGAGAGATACAGAGAAAGGGGAAGAGAGAGGAAGACTCATCCAACCAATTCAATAACCACTGATTAAGTGCCTACCGAGAGAAATGATTATTAATAACCAGTCGTTTGGGGAGATCTGGAGTTCTCCCCTCTTTCTAAAGTCCTGATTTTAAAAAATTCAGTCTCCTGAAGGACATTGCTGATAATGAGATCAGACTAACTTTTTTGTTCAAGATCTCACCCAGGTGGTGTAGCCATTGTGTTCTTCTCAGGCTCGGATGGGGCATAAATTCTTTGAATAGATTGCTCATGGCTGGGGGTGATCTGGGTCTAGAAATAAGTCTCTCTGTCCAAGGGTGTCACTCTCAGACCCTCATTGAACACCCGTTCTTTGAAGAGTATATGAAGGGTGAGCCAGCCACCATGATTGTCTTTGGTCTAAGAGAGATGGCTAAATGATCATCCTTTTATTAATAATGTGTTGGTCTTAAATAAAATTATAAAATTACCCAGAAACTATGTCTCTCAGAATTTTTTAATCATCACACTATGATGTATTTGGCAGAAACTAGAGAATTGAACCCAATGTCAAAGAGACTTGAATTCATGGCCTGCCTCTGACACATACTGGTGAAGGGACCCTGGCATGTCACTAAACCTATATGCCCTGGACAGCTCTCTGAGACCACAGTTAGCAGAGGCATCCATCTGCTTTGCTAGCCAGAAGTCACACCAGTGAAATCACAGGTCCCATCCATCTTGTGCATCCTCTGCTCTCCCCTTTCATCCTCCTAACCCATTCCATTTGTTTGGATGGAGGTGCTAAGATAATAAATTAAATAATCCCTGCAGTGAAGAAGCTCATATTCTACTTGGAGAGAGGACTATCCAGAGGACAGGGGGTGAGTGCTCAGTCCATGGATACTTTGTCTATGAAAAGATGATATATTGAGAGGAGATGGAGGGATGGAAAGATAGAGACAAGATGGAGAAGAGAGACCAAGACAGAGGTAGAGAAGAGACAGCAGAAGGACAGAGGCAGGGAGAGCGATGGAAATAGAGGCGACAGAAATGGAGAAGAGTCGGATGGAGAGAGACACTGAAGAGAAACCTGGCAGCTAACCTTGGGGAAGGCTGGCAGGTCTTGGAGTCCAGGGTGATTTACAGGTCTGGGTGGGCCCAGGATCTACTTCCTCAGTCAGGTTTGAAAGACAGGAGAGATAAAAGTATAGATAAGGCATGAGATAAGGCTGGGAGGGAGGCACCTAGGCCTGAGGAGAAGGTCCCCGTGACCATCCGTATTCTGGGCCATTTCTAGGATGAATATCCAGCCTGAGTGTGGGGAGATCCCTATTCCCCTGTGACTCATGACTGGCACTGCCGATTCAAGGGTTTCTTGGGGTCGGGGGTAGGAATAAGGCATGCCCTCGGTACTGGAAAAAGGGAGGAGGACAGGGAGAGGGTAGAGGGAGGGGGAGGGGACAGGGCCACCAGCAGTCAGTGCCTTTACACACTTGCCCTTCCATCTACAACTGCTCAGAGACCCTTTCATCATTCCCAAGGCAAGTCATTTCAAGGGGCTTCCAAGTTTACAAAGCTCTTCACAATTCACAAACCTGCCAATTACTCAGACACTGGAATATGCATGTTCATAGGAGCCCCTCCTTTGGCACAGATCTTCTGAGTCCAGTGTCTCTTAAGAGCCTAAAGGTGTCAGAATCATTAATAAATGCATGTCAACTGACTAACAGACTGACTGGGCATCAGTTCTCATCCAGGGAAGAGGCATCCTCTGCTTTCTCTCTTGGGAGAGTTCATTCAGATGCTCAGAGAGGAATTTTTTGCTAAACTGTCAAGTGCCACGGTGGGTTGTCAAATGTTGGCTCCACAAGCATAGAGCTGGCCCTGGGCTTCTGCTCACTAGGCTCATCTTGTCTGGTGGGAATGTCTGGCCCAGTTCCCAGTCCTTGGGTGGGGAAGATAGCCCATGACAGCTTCAATCCATTCTGGCTTTATGGGCCCCAGGGCAGCTATTTAAGGGGTCTGGGCCACACCTCCAGTTCTTCCGCTCTCTGCACAGGCTGGAACCAAGGCAGGTAGGGCCTGGAAGGTGAAGAGCCCCAGGATTTAACCCTGTGCAAGCCTCCCCACTCCCACATACATCTGATGGGGAGCTGCCTGCTGGAAAGAAGGGGAGGAGGTCTGCCTGGGACAGACATGTCTCTCTGAGTTGCTGGTGCCTGTTTCTCTGCAGACTTAATGACTGTGTCCTACACTCTTCGTGTGGCCAATGCCCGCTTTGGGGGCTTCTCAGCACTCCTGTTCCGCTGGCGGGGGAGCATTTACAAGTTGCTATACAAGGAGCTACTGGTGTTCCTGGGTCTCTATGGGATTCTCAGCCTCACCTATCGGTGGGGTCTTGATGTGGGGAGGGGTGCAGGGGGCAGGTGGGGTTCCACCAAGGATTAAGGGGAGCTGAAGAGAAGGGAACTCTGAGGAGGGGCACTCAGGAGGAGGGGGATTTCAGGGGGATGCTCAGGGAGGTGGTCATATAGGGGAACTCCATGGGGAGGGGAGCTTCAGTGGGAGACAGGGATCTCTAGGGACCTCAGAAGGGATGGGGGTTCTCAGAATTCAAGAGGTTGTCAGGGTCTCAGCTCTTCAGTCGGGAAGGTCCTGGTGCGTCCTACGACCCCTTCCCTTCCCCGCCCCCCCCAGTCTTGCCCCTCTAATGGATTGTCACGCAGGATTCTGCTATCCCCGGAACAGAAGCGCATCTATGCTCAAGTGGCTCGGTACTGCAACCGCTCTGCGGACCTCATCCCTATGTCGTTCGTTCTGGGTAAGGCTCTCCAGCCTAGCTGCCCGTCAGTTCCATCAAGGCCTGCTCCCAACAGAGCACTCCTCCTCCCAGCCCTAATCTCCCGCTAGGACCCTTCTCCTCCTGGTGGCCTTTCTAAACACGGGGCCCCTCCCCGTGGGAACGCCACTTTGACGTTAACCATTACCCAATCCAACCTGAACCACTCCAGGAGGAAGTGAGCCACACCTCCCTGTGTGGTCCACACAGGGAGTCCAGCGTCAGAAAGTCCAGGGTCAGAAAGAAGAGGCTACTTCCCACCCCCATTCCTTATTCTTGAGACATCCTCCTCTGGGGCCTTCGTTCAAGTCCCAGTTCCGCTCCGGGTTCGCTGGTATCCTTGGGCGAGTGCCCGAGATTTCCCATTCCGAGAGAAGGGGTAGGGTAGAGTTGTGCGCCAAGGTCTCTGTCCAAGGTCCTCCCTGCCCATTCTCGGCCCGGCAGGCCCTCTTCCTGCCTTGCGGTGGTCCAGGACGGCGGAGAATGATCAGGCAGGGAACCTTAGTCCCGAGGGGACCTCTGAGCCCTCCCTCACTCCCATGCCTTTCAGCCCCTGGGGCTCTCGAAGCCCCAGCATCCCAGCCTCTGCCTGTCCTCCCCAATCCCGTAGGTTTCTACGTGACTCAGGTGGTGAATCGTTGGTGGGCCCAGTACAGGAGCATCCCGTTGCCAGACCGCCTCATGTGCGTGGTGACAGCCACAGTGCACGGGGACGACGAGCGCGGACGCACTCTGCGCCGGACTTTGCTGCGCTACGCCAACCTGTCTTCAGTGCTGGTGCTGCGCTCGGTCAGCACGCGAGTGCTCCGGCGCTTCCCCACCATAGAACACGTAGTGGAAGCAGGTGCTGAGCCCGGGCCAGGCCCAGGTCTGGGGGTGGGAGGGCCAGACACAAGCCCAGAACCAGGGCAGGCAAGGTCAGGCTTAGGGGTGGGCTGAGCAACCTCTTCTGGGCTGTTCAGAAGCCAGAACTTCGGGTTAAAATCAAGGGCTTCCCTCCGGATTCCTGTGCAGGGGCTCCTAGGTGGTCCCTGGTCAGCCACTCAGGTGGATGGGGTGGGGCAGAGTTCCGAAGTGGAAAGAAGATGGAATTCGGAGTCACAGAACCCAGATGCATTTCCTGGCTCTGGGCCTCAGTTTCCCTCACCTGCAGAATGAGGGCATTGGATGTCCTCTGAAGTCCCTTTCATCTCTAGATTGGGATCCCTCTCCCCCTCCGCTCCCTGCCCTTGGGTCCAATAGGGGAGGAAGTGGATAGGGGCAAGATGGGATGGGAGGTTAGGGCTGAATGTGTCAGGGAAGAAGAGGCAGGAAGGAGACCACCGGATCTCTGTAGGCTTCATGTCCCAGGAGGAGAAGCAGAAATTTGAGAGCCTGCACTCCGACTTCAACAAATACTGGGTTCCTTGTGTCTGGTTCACCAACTTGGCTGCCCAGGCTCGAAGAGAGGGCCGGGTCCGGGATGACATTGCCTTTGGGCTTCTCTTGGAGGTGAGTGCAGCTCAGGTCGATGGGCCCCTTGGCCCCAGCCCCTGCACTCCTCCCCTTGCTGCTGACTCCCCTCCCCACCCCCTTCACTAGCCCTGTACCCACCTAACCCTTCCATAAGACTGCCTTGGGTCTTGCTGCTAAGGTAGAGCCTAGTGGCTGCTGTTCCCCAGGAGTGACCTGAAGCTTTTCTAATCATTCTCCCTGGCCACATGCCCCTAGGAGCCCTAGGACAGACCCACCCAACCCAGAGAACTCTTCCTGCCTTCTTCCCACCCTTGCTTACCTCCCCTCCTTGGCCCTCTGCCTAGGAGCTGAACCAATACAGAGGCAAGTGCAGCCTCCTCTTCCACTATGACTGGATCAGCTTCCCCCTGGTCTACACTCAGGTAACACCACCCCCACGGGGCAATCTGACAAGCACACATGAAGCACCTACAGTGGGCAGAGCCTTAAGCTCGGGAGTCACAGAATCTAGCCAAGACTTGGCCCTTCCCCTCCAGGAGCTCTGGGCCTGGGAGGGGGATAAGACCGTAGCACAGAGAGCTGTGATATACCCTCTTCCAGGCTAACTACAGCAGAGAGGGACAAGCAGAACAGCCTTTGTGGTTTGGGAGAGGCTGAGCCCTTTATCAAGCCAGGTGATCTGGGTGGTCTTCTTGGAGGAAGTGGTATTTGAAGCAGGCTTAGAGGGATGAGCAGGCAAGGCAGCTAAGAAATATGGAAAAATGAATTGGGGAGTACCAGTGCCCAAGTGTGGAAGGAACAAACAGAAGAAAAGTGGAACTGGAAAGGTAGGATGGTACACGGTCAGAGAGCCTTGAGTGCCAGCTAGAATATGTGAGCTTGATTCTTTTACCCAGAGGAGCTTTGAGGCCACACTCGCTACCTTTCCCCTCCTGGTGCCCAGGTCCCTGTCTACCTCCCTGGCTCCCACCTAAGTGTTCACCTTCTGTCCACTGCCCTATCAGCCTCTGAGTCACCCGGCCAGCCATCCTGCAAATCCTGAGACCAGGCTACTCCCCCACGGCCCCACCCTCCCATTCCAGTTCCTCCTGGTCAACCTCAAACTGAGATGGAACAGGGTCAGGAAGGGGAAGCTCTGGGTTGTTCCTTATTCCTTGCATAGGGCAGGTGTTACATCAATGTTTGTCAGAGTGAAGGCTCCAGAGATAAGCCCTGGGAGCAGATCCATGGTGGGTCACTGGGGAGCGAGGGATGGGTGCGATCAGCCCTGAGCTGTATGGGAAGAAAGCACATGTGTTATGTGCTGGGGTGCCATGATCCTTCCCAAAGCTGCCTTCTCCCACGGCTGCTTCCCAGAACTGGGTTTGCAGGAACGGCCTGAGAGCCTTGGAAGAAGCTCCCAGATCTCTAGGGACAGTGATCCATGATGCCATCCCTGGGGCTCCTTCACAGCACAACTTCACTTCTCACCCCCGACCCTTTCATGGAGAGTCAGGAGACTCGGGTGCTGGGCTCGCTTCTGGGGGAGAAGCCTTCCCTGTGCTGCTTGGAAAGAGGCTAGATGCCTTCCAAGCTGCCAGGGATGTCAGAGGGCTCTCCTTTAGCCAATACCTACACAAGGAGCCTCGCATCTAAAACAGCATCCCTGACCTGTGGGCATTCACAGCTGCTTGCTTACCTATAGTTATGGGGAGCTCACTCTGCCCCCCTCAAAGCATTCTATGATACACGGAGGCAGCTTGAATTGTTAGGAAGGAAGCTTTTCTGACCCCTGGCCCACCTCTACCTTTCTATGTCCCCACCCCACTGCCTTTCACCTTGCTGTAGGTTCTGCCTCTTGGGGCCCAGCAGAAGTCTAATCTCTCTGAGCCTGTTTCCTCATAGGGGGGAATGCCAAGCTCTTCCTTTCACGTTGGAAATTAAAAGCCTGCTCAGAAGGCAGAGTTCCCTCAAGCTCTCACCTGCCCGGGGTCACCATTGCAGCAGAGGCCAGAACCAGGCCCAGAAGCCCCATTCCCTGACTCCAAAGCCAGTCTCTCCAGCTTCCTTTCTTCATGTCTCTGCCTTGCCAGGTGGTGACCATTGCTGTCTATTCCTTCTTTGCTTTTTGTATCATTGGACGTCAGTTCCTGGAGGATCCTAAGCCCCCCTTGAAAGGCCAAGAGGGGCCCCTGGGGGATCTGGATCTGTATGTGCCACTCACCACCCTTCTACAATTCTTCTTCTATGCTGGCTGGCTTAAGGTGGGTACCAAAAGGGCTGGGAGGGTAGGCAGTGTGGCTCTGTGCCCAAGGGAGCCCTTTGGCCTCAAGGTTTCCCCTGGGGAAGGGAATCAGTTAGTGAGTGCCAGGGACAAATAACTTCTCCTTTCCCCCTACAGGTGGCTGAACAAATCATCAACCCTTTTGGGGAGGATGATGATGACTTTGAAACCAACCAGCTCATTGATAGAAACCTGCAGGTGGGCCTTGAGAGAGCTCCCCAGGGCAACTGTCCAGGGACTTGGGCAGCACCCTGGGAAACTGCTGTATTCTTTTGCACAAAGCATTGGGGAGCTTACCTTCTGCTGGGGAAAGGGGCAGATACCATAAAGACCTGAATTAGATAAAGTTCAATTCACATTTACTGCTCGCTCCAGTAGGGCCCTGTGCTGGTCTACACTGGGGCGAGGTGCACATGTGTGCTGGACAGTATTGGCAGAGATCAAGACCTCTCAGGCCAGGCGATAAGGGGGCTTGTAGTCAGACTATGGAACCAGGTGTGGTCCCCAAAGAGTTACAGCCCCTCGAGGGAGGTTGCAGTTAGGGCCACAGTAGAATAGTGAGCCCAGCACATTGAGAGTTCCAAGCTGACAGAGGGTGACTCAGGGTTCCTTGTCTAGAAGCTTCCTGGACACCTCTATCTCATAATGGAGGTGCTCCCTCCATCGACCCTAAGAAGCTGGCCAGGCGCAGCTAGGTGGTGTAGTAGAGAGAGCTCTGGCCTTGGAGTCAGGAGGACCTGAATTAAAATCCAGCCTCAGACACTTGACACTAGCTGTGTGACCCTGGGCAAATCACTTAACCCTGACTGCCTCACCAAGAAGCAAAAAAAAAAAAAAGGAAAAAGGAAGAAGAAGTTGGTCAGGCAAGGATTACTCTCCCTATTTGACAGAAGAGGAAACTGAGGATGAAGAGGAGAAAATGCTTGGGCAAGGTCACAGACAGTGAGCATCCAGGGAGGAGGCCTGGATAGGGGTAATACAGCGGGTCTTGTGGTCCCACTCCAAAGACAGGCAGGAGCTGGGAGTGTGTGGGGTGGTGGGGAGGTGAAGCTGTTTATGGGGAGGGTTACCTGAGGACCAGTCTGGAGTGGAGCCTATAGCTGTAGGCCACAGAATGCACCAAGCCTGAGGCTGGCTTTCTAAGGAGAACTGAGGGGCCCACGCATGCGCTGCCCACCCTGGCTGTGTGTGGAGGGCTTCTTTCGGGCCAAGATTCAGAGATTGAAACCAGATTCAGCCAGTCGCAGCTCAAAGGATGTCAGGGACCTCAGTTGGAGGCTTCCTTCTCTCCAGCCCCTAGCCTCTCTGGACTGCCTCATTTTCCCCATTTGTACAAGGTTTGGAGGTGGCCTCGGTTTCTGCTCCCACCTCGAGCCCTGGGTGGGTGGGGACTGGGAAGGATCACCACATATTGGTCCTAAGGTTGTGTCTCTCAGTGTCTAATCCTCATTCCCGCAGGTGTCACTGCTGTCTGTGGATGACATGTATGGGGACTTGCCCCCTATGGGCCGGGACCGCTACTGGGGCGAAGCAGCTGCTCAACCCCCCTACACTGTGGCTTCGGCGGCCGACAGCCTGCGACCCTCTTTCATGGGTTCCACTTTTAACCTGCGGTTAGTGCCCAAGGAGAACGGCGAGGGGTGGGGTGTCCCGGCAGGGCCGAGGAAAGGGGCATAGGCAGGGCCTGGGAAGGTGGAGGTCGGAAGGAGGGGCGCAGACAGCTAGGGGCCCGGGTGTCTGGCTAAGAGGGGCGTGGTCAGTGCTTATAGGGGCATTGGATGGGCGTGGTCGGGCAGGCTGGAGCCAGGTGATGGGCGTGGCCTGCCGCCTGCTCACGTCCAGCCCTCCTTTCCCGCTCCCCCTCCCCTCCACCTGCAGTATGTCGGAGGAGCTGGCGCAGTCAGAGGCGGAGATGGAGAAAGAGGCTGGGGCTCTCTCGAGGTCTTCTAGTCCGGCGTGGGCACGGACGCCGCTGCTCGGCCGCTTCCTGGGAGCCTCCGCCCCGTCTCCGGCCATCAGCCTGCGGGTCCCGCGCACCCCTCTGATGCCGTCCCGCCTCCAGACCGCCCAGGCAGCCACACCGGTCCCGGGACGTATGCGCCTGGGCCGGCTCCTGCCTGTGCCGGCAGCCCGCATAGACGAGGAGGCTCCGGAGGCCCCAAGTCCGGACGCGGGCTCCCAGGAGGAGGAGGAAGAGGAGAAGGTCGCTCCTAGCAGTGAGGCCAGGCCCACCCCTTAGCCCCCTCCCCGTTGTCTTAGTCCACCCCGAGGCCCCAAGTGCGTCAGACCACCCACCCCATTCACGGACTTGTACTGGCTGTGGCCTAAGGACTTCCAGTTAGCCTGGACCCTTCAATAAAGGTTCCCTTATTCCCCCACCAACGCCTTAGGTGTGTATGCGTGTATGTGTGTGTATTTGTGGGGGGGGGGGGACTTGCCCTCGGGCGGCGTGTTGTCCTTTGAAGCCAAGGACCATGAAACCTGCGAGGGAGAAAGTGTGTTCGGGCAGCCCCTTCTGACAGTGTGTATTCCAGGGTCTTGGGGGAACCTGCCCAGGATAGCCTGGACGGGTAGGGGTGGGGGTGGGGATAGTGAGCCCCAGCGAGCCTATTGTGGCAGTCAGAGAAGCAAAGATTCAGTACTGGAAGGACATCATTTCGGAGGCCATCGGGTCCATTCTTATTTTAGAGGAGGAAACCAGCCCAGAAAGGGACTACACATTCTTACGTCTTGAGCTGGAAGGGAGGTCGGGAGTCACGGGGTCCAAGCCCCTTGATCTATACACAAAGGAGCTAAAGAGACTTGCCCAAATCACCAAATATCCAAAAGTGGGATGTGCTCCCCCAAATCCAGTGCTGCTCCCCATGGGGCCACGTTGGTTCAGTATTTTTGGGGTCTAGTCCTGGGACTGCCGGAAGACGGAGGAGTCCCGAGGCTTTGGTAACGCAAGGGCCAAGGAGGACCCTGAAAATGGGACAGATACAGGCCCTGGGAGAATTGGGAAACACGAAGGTGAATAATGTGACCTTAAGGCGCCAGTGAGAGAGACTGAGGCTGGATACGCAGATCTGAGGCTATGGTGCAATAAGCATTTATTTGGCGAAGGGCACGGGCTAGGAATGGACATACAAGCACAAAAGGGGAACTCCCTTCTCCCCTTGAAATCACATGGCCCAGGGGCAGCTAGGTGGCGAAGTGGATAGAACATCGGCCCTGAAGTCAGGAGGACTTGAGTTCAAATCCGGCCTCAGACCAAACACTTGTTACTACCTGGGTGACCCTGGGCAAATCACTTAACCCCAATTGGCACCCCCCCCAAATCACATGGCCCGGAGAGGTCCATAGAAAGATCTCCGTGTGCTCCTAAATCCAACCAGAAGTTCACGTACCAAGAGGGGCTTTTCCATCATTCCTTCCAAGCAGGTGTTCTGTATCGTCCCTATTTTCCAGATGAGGAAAGTGAGGCATTGTATTCAAGGCTACTCTAAGGATGATCCCTCAACAAGCATTTAAGTGCTTACGGTGGTGCTAGGCACGGTGCAAAGCGCTGGGAATACAAACAGAAGTCGAAAGCCAATCCCGCTCTCAACAAGCTTACACTTGGGGGTTATGTTGGGGAACGTGAGACAACTCATATAAGGAAGGGAAGATGATGTGTGGCTTGGGGCTATGGAAGAGTCCTGTGATAGTAATGCTGCCTGGAGAGAGAAGACATCCTGGACCTCTTCCTTAAATTGGAGGTTCTGGGAGGAGCTAACCAATTAGAAAGGGAGTCCCCAGGGAAGGACGGTACTTCCGATGTCTGGTCTGAGCTTCCAGAAGGAAGAAGTTTCTATGGCATAGCGGAGGCGGTCCTGTGTAGGTGAGAGTCAGAATTGCAGCCTGGAGAGGGTAAACACCCACTTGCTAACTGATTGAAGAGATCTCAATGGAGTGAGAGAGGTGAATCAACTCTGTACAGGATAAATAGGAAATAATAGAGGCAAGGCACTGGAATTCAGGGGTTGAGAAAGTAGGTGGGATTTTGGTAGAGACCAAGCAGGGTGGGGAATCTGTGGCTTCCTAGATCCTTGGATGCAGCCTTTTGACTGAGACCGTTTTACAGAACAAATCCTTTTATTAAGAGGACTCATTCAGGGAAGTTTGGATTCAGTCAAAGGGCCGCACTGGAGGCCCTAGAGGGCCACATGTGGCCTCAAGGCCACAGATTCCCCAACCCTGGACCAAGAAAAGTCAATAGGTGTAAGGCTGAGATGGAAGGTCTTGTAGGTGAAACAGGAAGGAGCCAGTATTACTGGATGGAAGAGTACGTGTTCGGGAGTCAGGTCTAAGAAGGCTAGACAGGTAGGAGACTGGGTTATGGAGGACTCTGAATACCAGAGAATTTTGTATCCGACTCTGGAAGTGATAGGGAGCCACTGAGGTTTATTGAATGCGGGTGTGTGTGACATATAACTTTTGCTTTTGGTAGCTGGATTGGAGCAGGGAGAGGTTTGTGGCAGGAAGTCACCAGCAGTTCGGGCATGAAGAGATGAGGCCTGTATGAGGGTAGTTGCAGGGAGAAAAAGGTGTACGTGAGGCCTTACAAAGGTAGAATTCATAGGCCCTGGCGGGACATACAGGGTGAGAGAGTGAGCAGTTGTTCAGGAAGACTCCTAGGCTGGAAGTGGATACAGTGCTGAGCCTGGAGTCAGGACAGGTAGAAGGGAGTTCAAAAGTACAGCCTGAGAGATTTAGTGGCTATTTGACCCTGGGCAAATCACTCATCCTATTTGCCTTAGTTTCCTCAACTGTGAGAGGATTGCTTCTACCTCCCAGGTTTGTTGTAAGGACCAAATAAAGTATTAGTTTAAAAAAAGTGCTTAGCACAGCCTAGCACATTCCCCTTGGTAGTAACAGGGAAGTTTGGAAGGGTTTATGGAGAAAGGATGAGTTTGGTTTTGAACACGTTAAGATGCCTACTGAACACTCAATTTGAGATATTCAGAAGGCAGTTGGAGATTAGAGGCTAGAGGTCAGGAAGAGGTTAGGGCAGGATAAGTAGCTGAGAGAATCATCAGCAGAGATAACTGAGTCCATGCGAGCTACTTTTGAATTGGTATAGAGGAGGGAGAACCCTGTGGGAGACCTATAGTAAGGCTGTGACCTGGATGAGAATCCAGCAAGCGAGACTGAGCAGTGATCTGTTAGGTAGGAGCAGAATGGTGTCCCAAAATCCTAGAGGAAAGAATATTAAGAAGATGGTGATGGACAGCATCGAAGGCTGCAGAGGTCAAGAAGAATGAGGATTGAGACCTTTGAAGTTGGTAATTAGGTGATCACTGGTAACTTCAGAGGGCAATTTTGGTTAGATTAGGGCAGAAGCCAGATTATAACAGGGTTGAGTATGGAGAAAGTGGCAGCATTCATTGCCTATGGCTTCAAGTTCAGTCATAAAAGGCACTGGAGCCTCAGAACAGCTAGCAGACATGGGTTTGAGGATGGGGCAAGCCAAGAACACGCTTCTAAGTACTCTCGAAGGAGCTAGTAGTTGGGAGACTGAAGGTAAGTGAGTGGGGATAACAAAGGGCAACATGGTGGGGATGGGATGGATCAGGCTCACTTGAACAAGCAGAGCTTGACTGGGTAAGGACTAAGGCTACTTCATCACGAGGGTGAGGGGTGAAGGAGAGTGGTAGAAGGAAAAGACATTATCAAGGTAAGTCTCACCAGCATCATAGTGATGGGAGCTGAAAGGCCCCTCCTTGGTCAGACTCCCTCCTAGGAACACCTGCCAAGGAAATGCCAATGCAGACAGCCAACTGTCCCACAAGTTAAAAGTTAAAAACAGCCAATTCCTGCCCACAGGTCAGTTTGGACGCTGCCGCCGCCAAGGCTGGGCAGCCAGGAGGTAGAAAGGGAACAAGAGCAAAGTCAGCAGAGGAGGATTTAGTAAAATGCCTAGTGTGTGCTCAGCACTATCCTAAAAGTATGTTACCTTATTTCAACCTCACACCAGTCCTGGGCAGGTAAATATTAAGGAAAAGGAGGCAGACTGGCTAACTGCCTAAGCCACTCCACTTCCCCCTGGGATGTAGAGGTGTGGCCACACCTGTGGTCAGGGACCCCCCCCCCCACTGCAGAGGCACTGGCTGCCCAAGGAGTAAAGGACCAGCTATCAGCTCTCCCTCCCAAGGAGTCTCCCTTGAACTCCGTCCAGATGTGCCCCCAGTCCAAAAAGGGCAGTCTAAAAAAGCAGGCCTGGCCCTTTGGTAGGGAGGGGAATTCCTCTTGCACTGTGATGAGGCCCAGCTGGCCACAGGGAAGGCCAGTGGGTCACTTAACAATGCGGAGTCCAGGGGCAGTGAAGTGCCACAGTGGATAGAGCACCAGCCCCGCATTCAGAAGGTCCTGAGTTCAAATCCCGCCTCCGACACTAACACTTACTAGCTGTGTGACCCTGGGCAAGTCACTTAACCCTACTGCCTAGCCAAAAAACAAAAACAAAAAAACAAACAACAATGTTGAGTCCAAAGGATGCAGCAGATCAGCAGCATGTAGGTGATGCTGGTTCTGGAGTCTCCAGCCCCACCCCCTTCCCTCCTCCCAGCAATGAGCACAGGACAAAGGGCAAACAATCTGGGGATTTATTCCATTAGAGAACGTCCAAGTTAGGGTTTATTTGCCCTTTCGGGCTTTGATCTTTCTTAGGTAGAACTCAAGCTCTTTGCCTTCCAGCACATAGCCGTCTGCTCGGCCACATTGGCCTGGCCTTGATGCGATGCAGGCTGTGGAAAAGAGGTCAGGCTATCAGATTAGGTCACGTCAGTGTTTTCAAATCTCACTTGTGACATCAGTCTCTTCAGATACACCACTGTCGTCACTCCAACTCAGCAGCAGAACTGGACAGGGTCTCATCATCACGAGGGTCAGGGTCCTGGCTGTGCAACTCCCCCACCCAGCATCTTCCCCCTCCCCCCTTTCCCTCCTCACCAAGTAGCTTGCCCTGCTGGAACTGTTCCTCCAGAAGTGAGCTGATCTTGGCATTCTTCTTTCGTTCCTCATATTTCTTCTGGATCTTCTTTGACCGCTTTTTATTTAAAATTTCTTCCTCCTCAGGAGTCTGGAGCAAACGGAGGAGATGGACTGATTAGCTCGGAAGCTGTCCCTCCCACTGCTGGGGATCCTAAAACCAGAGATGGCCCAAGCTGTGAGGGACCTTCCCTAACCCTGCTTCATTTCCCAGCATGCCCCCTCAAAGCTTCTTTCAGTCCATCTAGAACATGTTGGCCCTCTCCTGGTCTAAAAAGTCCAACGGCCCACCCAAAGCTGTCAGCTACTGAAGGGGTGGGCCAGCACACAAGCCAAGGCGGCCACACCAAGAAGCACCGGGGGACCCCCCTCCCCTCCTCTTACCACAGGCTAGTGGCTCTATGTCCTAAGCTGCCACTGTGCCATGCCCCCTCCCAGACCTTCCTCAGCACACAAAGCTGTCATCTCTGAGACATCAGCAGCAGAACTGGACAAGGTTCTCCTCACTGGAAGGCTGGTTCTCTCCCTCCCCCTGCCCCTTTGTCTGCCCACACACAAGGGACTCATACCAGCTTGGCTCCCTTCTTCCGGCCCAAGGGCAGGGCATAGTGGGACTCGTACCACTGACGGTACGGGGTGCTATCGATGAGCACGATGCAATTCTTCACCAGTGTCTTGGTCCGGACCAGCTCATTGTTGGATGCATTATAGACCACATCAATGATCCTTGTTTTTCGGGTACAGCCTAAGTGAGGAGGAAAAGCCAGCAAGACTCAGAGGCATCAACCTCTCTCAGAAAAGGCAGCCCTCCACTCCCCCTTCCAATCTTTCCAGGTTAAACCCCCCTGCCCTTTTCTTAAGAGATCTGGTAAAGCTGATCCAGCCTTCAGGAGCCCCCTCAGACCACCCTAAGCCGAGGCCATGCCCGTCCCCAAAGGCCAAGTCCCAGCCTTCGCGCTCAGTTCTCCAAGGTTTGCATCCACACCATTGCATTCGGTGTTTGCAGCAGTAACCAAGGTTGTCATCAGGGCGCCCGGCCGCCCCCCAGCCCCCGTCCCCAGCTCACTCACACTCGGAGCCCCAGGAGAAGTTGCCCACGTCCAGCCTCAGCGCCCGGTACTTTTTGTTGCCTCCTCGGACTCGCACGGTGTGGATCCGGCGGGGGCCGATCTGCTCGGGGGAGACACAGACCGAGTCAGGGGGGATTTGGGGTATAAGGAAGGGGTCCCGGGGTCGGGGCGCCCCGGCCACGTGTCAGTGTAACTATGACAAAGCAGCCCCAGCATCGGTGGCCCCCGGGTCCAACACGGCCCGGCTCGGGCCCCTAAGGCTCTGGCGATCATCACTCATGTGGCTGGGGTGGGGGCGGGGCAGGCACGGGGTTCTCAGACCCCGGGGCGGGTTGGGGTGCTGGCTGGAGGTGGAGGAGCAGATTCGGGGTGCTCGGCCCCGGGGCGTGGGAGAGGGGCCTGGGGGGGGGCGGGGAGGGAGGCCCGGGGCCCCTCGGCTCACCTTGGTGTTGGCCGGCGGGCGGCCCAGCTCATACTTGCGCTTCTTGTGGTAGGGCTTACGCTTGCCCCCGGTCTTGCGGCGCTTGTGCCAGTTGTCCCGGGAGATCCCTGCGGGCGGACGCGGAGGCGGTTCCGGTCAGGCCCAGCCCGGGCCCGATTCCGAGCCCCCGCTCCCCGCGCCCTTTCTTCCCTCCCCAGCCTGGCCCTTCCTCCTCCTCCCTGGCATCCCAAGACCCTCGGCCCAGGCCCGGGACCCCCGACCCAAGGATGGCGACGGATGGCGACGGATGGCGATGGATGGCAGCGGACGGGCCCAGCTTCCTCACCCATGGTCGGCGCGAGTTGCAAAGAGAAAGCGCAGAGGCTCACGGGCCGGCTTGTAAAGGGGGGGGCGGGGGTTGAGGACCCTCCTCGTCACTTCCGGGCGCCGCGCGGTGGCGTCACTGGCACTCGTCCGGAAGAGCCAAACCCGGAGCGAGAGGTGTGGTCACGTGGGCCGAAGGAGGCGGCTCCTCCACAGCCGCAGGTCGGTACTGCGCAGGTCTTGGCAAAGCGCCGGCCCTTTGATCCCCCGCCCTCCGCTGCTCTCCCTATTTTACAGACGACATTGGTGGTGATGACTAGTGTTTACATAGCGCCTAGTGGGGCGAAGCGCCCTACAATTATTTAATCCTCACATTAGCCATGAGAGGAAAGCGCTATTACTATGCCCATTTTACAGATGAGGAAACTGAGGTAGAAGGAGGCGAAGTGACTTGCTCAGGATTGGAACCCCCAGGCACGGTGCCTGGAACATAATAGGCGCTTAATAAATGCTATTTGACTTAAGGGTGTCTGCTGCTTCCTAGACCTTGCCAAACTGAGCTCAGAGACCCTGGTCAAAGCACCTGATCCCCATCTGTAGTGTGGGCACAATCATGCTAGGCAATGCTCTGCAAACTGCAAATACTCTGTCCAGGCTTCTGCTCCATGCAGCGTGTTGGGGGTCGCTTTGTTTCTAAATTACCGAAGGACTTAGGGACTAATTTGGAGGTGGGGAAGTGGGCAGAATAAGGATGATCCCCAGGTGGGGGAGTGGGAAGATGGCAGTACCCCCGGGCGGAACTAGGGAAGGCGGGAGAAGGGTCAAGGTTGGGGCAAAGATAAATTCTGTTTTGGACAGCCCCCATTTAAGTGTGTGAAAAGGACTAACTAACCCTTAAAATGCCGGCAAGTTTACTGCTCTGTGCCAAAGGTGGGGTGGAGTGGGCATAGACTGCCCACTGTGACCCTCGACTCCTGGAACAGTCCTCACACCTCTACGATCTTCCTCACATGCACCCCTATGCCCGTGGCTAATGTGGGGAGGAAGGAACCACAATCCCCCTCTTTTTCCAAACCTCCCTATCCGATGAAATGCTTTATTTTTCTATTCTAAGTTGCTGCAGAATGCTACTGATTTCGCCGTGTACTGAGTCGGCCTGAAAAGTTATAAAAACCCATCTGTACCCCACGAATCTGAGTTTGCTTTCGGCTCAAGCAGATTCCTTAGCATGCTGAGAAATTCCTTTCATCGGACCCTCTCTGGTAGGCATGCCTCTCCTAAAAGGTTAAGAGAATTCTTGGACAGTCTGCCCTGCCCACCCACACCAGAGCAGAAACCCTTCCCTCCTGATTCCGCATCCTCGACCACACTACTTCCTGAGATAGTCGGTTGCACTTTGGGAGAGGTCTGATTGGAACATTGCCTCTTCTGTGTCTTCGCCGCTTGCCCTCCTCCCCTTCCCCCTTTCTTTTCTTTTTTTAAAATAATTTATTTTTAGTTTTCAACATTCACTTCCATAAGATTTGGAGTTTTAACCTTTCTCCCCCTCCCCAAGACAGCACACAATCTGATATAGGCTCTACTTATACATTCATATTAAGCATATTTTCCCATTAGTCATGATGTAAAGAAGAATTAGAACCAATGGGAGGAACCACGAGAAAGAAGAAACAAAAAACAAAAGAAAAGGAGAGCAGACAGCGGGCTTCGATCCGCATTCAGACGCCATGGTTCTTTTTCTGGACATGGATAGCGCCGCTCCCCCCTTTCAATTCAGCCTTCATAAACTGGCCAGACTGACCTTCCTGAGGCTTAGACCGGTCAGGCTGGTTCCCTTCTTAGGAGGCTGTTCTGCAGCCAGAGGTGCCCGAGGACAGGGCCAAGAGAGGGAGGCCTCCTGTCTTTGTCCAAGACCGGACCAGCTTTTCTAGAGCATGCTTCCTTTTTTCCCACTTCTACTGCCTGAACAAGGTTTTTCAAGCCCGGTCACCAACTCTGCCCTTGTGTCCTCAAAGCACCATCCCAGTGCTGCGTTTTTGTGAGGCAGACTCCAGCATTAGATTAGGGGTTAAGTCCCACCCTCATTCCAACTTGCCAGAAACAGCCGGCCCAGGGGTCCCCAAAGAATCCCGATTGTCTCCAGGGGGAGGCAGGAGGCTGGCTGGCACATGTCCACCCTTCCTTTGGTGGTGGTCATCCTTCACTTTCAAGAGGACCAAAGACATCCTGGGATGCTGTCGCTGACTTGTGTGTGAATTGGATTTCAGTGAGGCAGAACTGTGCAAAGTCACCAGCCTCACTCTCTCTTCCAAAGTCATGAAGTCCAGTGGCAGGACAGAAGTCAGGATGACCAGTGATGGCCAAGATGCAGTGGGAGATCAAGCTCCAAGCGCTCTACAGGCGCCTGCTTCAGCCACCATTCTTCCAGGGGGAAGACTTCACATGCTTGGGATAGACATCCCCTCCCTAACTCACCACCAAGTGTGAGGTTACCCTCAACCTGGTTTTACCTGGCTGTGGCCACTGTGCACGCTAAGACTTGGAGCCCCAGGTGAGAGCTGAGTGATGGGTGGACACAGAAGGGGGATGAGCAGCCCTCCCACCAGAGTGCCTAGTCCTCCTGAACACTGAGAGCAGTCCTGTGTGGAGGTAGAGCAGGGAGGACCCTATAGGCAGCTCAAGGAAACTCAGGAACTGGCCCAGGGCCACATGGCAATAAGGCTCATGCTGGAAGTATTCTGCCCCTCTGCCGTCCCAACAGTTGCTCCAACACACTCCCCATTCCCTGAGAGCACATTCCTAAAACAACGTGACGGCTCCCCCCATCTCCACGAAGCAGAGGCAAATGATTCCATTCTCTTCCTTTATTGGGAGACGCAATGTTTAAATACAGACAACAGACAACAGACTGGTCCCCTTCACCTCAACGAAACCCAAAAGGGTTGTCAGAGGGACTGAGGAGAAAGGGTTTCAGAATCTTTTTTAAAAAAAATCCCCCCCACCCCCACCCCAAGCAGACACTGGGCAGCCGACAGCAAGGCCCAGAACCGTCCGCACTGGAAGGCAGCCCGAAGCCCTGGAACTGAAGGGAAGGCTGGTCCTTCCTCATCTCCTCCCAGCTCTGGGACAGCTGCTGGCCAGACCTCGATCAGTCACACAGGCCGAATGCTCACTAAGACCGTACGATAGAAAACCCTACACAACAGACATGGAAAAAAGAACGCTGGCCGGGAGCCCCCGGAGCCTGCCCGTCCAGGACCTTGGAGGCTGCCCAGGCCCAGACCCAGCGGGCGGACGTCCCAGCAGTGTGCCCTAGCACCCCAAACAAGGAGGGCATCCAGACACCCCTGAAGGAAGAGCTTAACCATCAAACAGTTTATTGGCATGTTACTGAGGTCGTTTGTGGCTGCTCATCTGCAGGCTGGCCTGTTCTTCCAGCTGCATGGCGAGGCGCAAGGCCTGCAGGACATCTGCAAAAGAAAGGCCTCAGGTCAGCCCGGCCCAGCCACTCCCAGCAGGGAGTGTTGAGGATCCAAGCATCTGCAGCCAGGAGCAGCAGCACTCAAGGCTTCTAGGTGCATGAAAGCCAGCATATACCACCAAGGGCTGCTTCCCCAGGACCGCCTGGGACCCTCCCCGTCCTGGCCACGGGGGCAGAGGAACAAGATGCAGCTGGAGGACAGATGGCCAGACCAAGAAAGCCCCTTGAGCCAGAAGCCTGAGGGGGGGATGGGGGAGGGGGCCATACCTTGGAGGCTGCTGAAGTTCTTGATCCCCTCAGCGGCAGCTTGCTGGGCTTTGTTCACAAAGGTCTCCAGGTCGTAGTCTGGCTGCTCCGTGGTCTCCAGTAGCTCGATCCAGTTAGACCACTTCTGCAGGGACATAGGAAGAGGGGACCACAATGGACCTTACTCCATTCTCTGCCCCGTGAGCCTAGGGCAGTCTTGCCTGGGAAGAGGGCCAGTGTGTCTGGTAGGGGCCCTTAGGAAGTCAACAGCACCTCCTGCCCACGCCCTACACCAGCCCAGGCCTCAGCCTGTCCCTGCCACCATCCTGACAGCGTTAGGTGGCCTCTCCCGCTCAGTTAAGCAGAGCTACCTGCAGAAATTGTGGAGCCTGGGCCTGGGGGAGCAGCTGGGCCTTAGAGGGCCTGACTCCATGGGGTTAACTCAAAGTCAGAAGCGGAGGAAGAAGACTGCAGCACAATTGGGCCCTCTCCAGGCAGTCTCAAAAGAACCAAGAGTCCCTCACAGCAACTAAGAGAAATGCTTCTAACCAAGCCTGAACATCAGGGGCAGAACAGGAAGAGAGGCCCACCTGCTGGGGAGGCCACGGAAAAGGCCTCCTGTGCCTTGCGGGCCCTGATGTGGAGGGCTTTTGTCTCAAGGAAGGATGGAAGCCCCACTGTCCATGCAAACAGATCCCTGCCACCTGCCGGCCCTTCCTGGTGATCCAGGAGGGGACTATACCACCAGACAGGTGCTGACTTTGAGCCTCTGCAGGAGAAACTGATGACTAGGGGCGGACAGGGGATGGCTTCATTTCTGCTGCTCATTGTCGGTAAGGGCTTCAGAAGAGAAAGAAATTTCTGGGAAGGGAATGGCTGCCTAGGATGTCCAAGCATGCATCTTCAGGCTCAAGGCTTGGGCAGGAATGCCCCTAAAAAACAGTGTGGTGGTAGGGGAACAAGAAACTTGCCTGGCATTTTCTCAATCTGTCAAGAAGGGGACTTAAAAGGAGAGGAGGGCTGCCCCTTGCTGCCTGGACTGGTGCCTCAGACTTGTGAGGAGGGTCCATCATGGGCGCAGATAGTTCCCTGCATGATTCAGGGCACAGAGAACTTAATGTGCCCTGCCAAGGATTCGGAGGCAGTGACGGTTTCTGGGAGGGTAGAAGGGACCTGAGAGGCTTCCAGTCTGAGCTGGGTCAAAACAACAGTCACTTCCCACAACATCCCCAGCCTATCATGGAAGACGTGCCCACCACCTCATCAGGAAGCCCTCTCCACTCTGAGAAAGCACTTCCTGACACCAGGATGAAACCTGGCTTTTTGCAGATTCTTCCCAACTGCTTTGGGACCCCACAGGACACGGATCACAGCTACTCCACAAGGGTTTGACCTCCAGGATGTAGAACTCCAAACTCCCTCAGCCCACAAGCCCCCTCTCTGCTTCTTCAGCATCACGCTAGGAAGTCAGGCTTCACTCTTCTCTCTCAGGATCCTGGGATTCTCCTAGAGGAATGGGCCAGGTCCCACAGCACAGGGTCTGCCCCACGGACCTCTCTCTTGTCCTTTCCCACGAGAAGGAAGGCCATCTATGGCAAACTCTCCACTCTGCTTATGCCCTGGCTCTCATCCCAGGCATTCCTATCTCCAATTTCTCTTCATGCACTGGCTCTGCCAAGTGGCCTAGACAAATTCCCCATCTCCCTTCTTAATAAGCTTCCACTTTCCCCGGCCAATTCCTCAACCAATCATTTCATATTTCTTCTTGCTGCTGCAGTCACAGAATCTGAAAGATGGAAGAGATCTCAGAGGTCTTAAGCCCAACCTTCTTTGGACAGAGAGGAACTGAGGCCCAGAGGGGAAGTGACTCACCCCCGGCTATAGGGGTATTGGTACCAGAACCAAGTACTCTGGCTCCCAATGCCCCATGCTGCCTCTGCCACCTATTGAGGGAGCCTGTTCCATTTTGTCTATTTGGGAGGTTAGATGGCCAACTTTATTAAGCATGTGATTTTATCAGATCATTATTCTGGAGTTAGCAGAAACCTTTTAGATCATCTTATCCTATCCTCTTCTCAAGCCTGTTCCATTTTAGAAAGACTCTCCTCGTTAGCAAGTTTTCTCCCCAATGTTAAGCTTAAATTGGTTTCCCTTCGATATCCTCCCATCTTTGCTCCTGGCTCTGCCCTCCAAGGCCAATGGAAGAGGTCTCATCCCTCTGCCACACAAGGGCCCTTGAGACACTAGAAGACGGCTGTCATGGGACACCATGTTGAGTCAACTGAGGGCTAAACATGCTCAGTTCTTTCAACTGATCCTAATATGACCAAGTCTCAAGATGCTCTCCTCACTGTCCTTCTTGGGCCTGACCACAATCCTCCAGATGAGTTCTGACCAGGACAGAGCCCCAGTCTTTCTCTCTTGTTGTAGCACAAGATCCCATGAACTTTCTACGTGGCCCTATCATTCCTGTCCACTCGAGAGCTAGATAGTGATATCCCTCTGCCCCAGAGAGATGGTGAATTTAGTCCCCAGGCAAAGCACAGGTGTGAGCAGGCAGCATTGTTCCTTTGAGCCTGCAGAACCTTCCAGATAGCTGATGGGCTGAGGCTAGACAGTCACTGTCTACAGGCACTCCACCTAGGAGCAACTCTGCAGCTGTGTTGTCTAGATCCAAACCAGGGTCTTTAGCCTGGAAATCCAGGGAGAGATGGTAGGCTGAGCCAATATAATAAAAATGACATTACCACCTAAATTAATTTCAGTGCCACACCAAACAAGCTACCAAAGAATTACTTCATAGAGTTAGAAAAAATGATGATAAAATTCATGTGGAGAAACAAAAGATCAAGAATATCAAGGGAATCAATTTTTTTAAAAAAATGGGCAGAAAAGGGGCCTGGCAGTACCAGATCTCAAACTATACTACAAATTTGTAATTGTCTAATTAATTTGGTGGTGGTATTGTTCAGTTATTTTAGTTGTGTCCAACCATGACCCTATTTGGAGTTTTCTTGGCAAAGATTCTGGAGTGGTTTGCCATTTCCTTCTCCAGCTCATTTTACAGATGAGGAAACTGAGGCAGACAGGGTTAAGTGACTTGCCCAGGGTCCCACAGCTAGTAAGTGTCTGAGGAAAGATTTGAACTCAGGAAGATGAGTCTTCCTCACTTTGGACCTGGCACTCTATCCACTGTGCCACCAAATTGCTTAAACAGTTTAGTAGTGGGTAAGAAATAGAGAAGTTAATCAGTAAACTAGATTAGGTATACAATACACAGAAGTAAATGAGCACAGCAACCTAGCATTTAATAAACCTAAAGATCCTAGTGACTGGGGAAAAACTCACTATTCAATAAAAACTGCTGGGAAAATTGTAAAGCAGTCTGGTAGAAATTGGTATAGAGCTGGAAGAAAATAGGTATGGATCAACTTCTCACACATCTCAAAATAAACTCCAAAGAGGTACATGATATAGACATAAAGAGTGGCATCATAAGCAAATTAGTGGAACACGGAAGAAATGACCTGTCAGATCTGTGGATAGGGAAGAGTTCAGAACCAAACAAAAGACAGTATAGATAATTTTGATACATAACATTAAAAGTTTTTGCAAACAAAACCAGTATAGCTAAAATTAGAAGAAAAACAGGAAATATGAAGACTCTGATAAAGTTCTCATTTCTCAGATATATAGGGAACTAGTTAAAATTTAAAGTAATTCTTCAATTGATACATGGTCAAATGATATGAATAGACATTTTTCAGAGACAGAAATCTAAGCTGTATAAAAAAAGCTCTTAATCAATGGTATCAAACTCAAATAGAAACTGATTCTTATGGGCCGCATTTGTTGTTGTTCAGTTGTGTCCAACTCTTCATGACCCCAATTTGAGGTTTTTTAGGCAAAGGTACCAGAGTAGTTTAATATTCCTTCTCCATTTTACAGATGAGGAAACTGAGGTACACAGGGTAAAGTGACTTGCCCAAGGGTCACACAGCTAGTAAGTGTTTGAAGCCACATTTGAACTCAGGAAGATGAGTCTTCCTGACTCTGGGCCCAGCACTCTTTATCTATTGCACCACATAGCTGGGCTGATTAGTGACTTGGAAAACCACAAATTAACATTATCTGTGTTGTGTTGTGTTGTATTTTTTGGGGGATGTTAAATATTTCCCAATTACATTTTAATCTGCTTCGAGGAGTATTCTGCTGGTATGCCATAAGTTTAACATCTCTGCTTTAAATCACTAATAAGTAGAGAAATGCAAATTAAAACAACTTGGAGGTACTACCTCACAACCCTCCATCTGAAAGGAGCTGAAGAAAGCAAAAGGAAAGGAAAAGCAGGCAACCTAGAGTTGCCCCAGAGTTCCAGCCTTGCTGATTCCAGCCCAACACTAGGTAAGCTGCCAAAATCCTACAGCTTCCAATTGCCAATATTGGAGGCCCCAGCACACAAAGCCAGTGACCAAGACCTAGGCTCCCAACACAAAAAGCTTGGGTCAGTGCCCTCTGCTCCCCAGCAGGAGAGCTCAATTTCTTTAAAGGCCAGGGAATAAGCAAATACCATGAGCAAAAAGGAACGTACCATAGATTCATATTATGAGAAGAGTGAAGATCAAGGGAGAAATTCTGAAGAGGACAACATTGTCAACAAACCCACATCTGGAACCTCAAAAGGAAATATGAACTAGTCTGAAGCCCAAAAAACCTTCTTAGAAGAGCTCAAGAAGGATTTTAAAAGTCAAATGAGAGAAGTAGAAGAGTACTTAAAAAATACAATTGGCTAACTGGAAAAAAAGTACACTGAAGAGAACAAATCCCTAAAAAATACAAATGGTCAAATGAGGAAGGAGGTACAAAATCTAATAGATGAAAACAATTTGTTAAAAATTAGAACAGGGCAAATGGAAGCTAATGACTCTATGAGAGAGCAAGAATCAGTCAAACAGAAACAAAAAAATGAAAAAACAGATGAAAATGTAAAATATCTCATTGGTAAAACAACTGACCTGGAAGATCCATACAGGAGAGACAATTTAAAAATTATTGATCTATCTGAAAATCACGATGAAAAAAAGAGCCTAGACAGTATCTTTCAGGAAATAAATCATAAAGGAAAATTGCCCTGAGGTCCTAAAA